TGGAACATCAATAAGAAAATAGTGGCACAGAAGCTCCCACCTGTAATCCTAGCAATTTTGGAGGCTAAGGTGGGCAGATCACCTGAGGCCAGGAGTTCGAAACCAGCCTGACCAATATGGTGAAACCCTGTCTCTACTAAAAATACAAAAATTATCTGGGTATGGTGGTGGGCACCTGTAGTCCCAGCTACTCGGAAGGCTGAGACAGAAGAATTGTTTGAACCTAGGAGGCGGAGGTTGCAGTGAGACAAGATCACGCTACTGCACTCCAGCCTGGACGACAGAGCAAGACTCTGTCTCGAAAAAAGAAGAAAGAATAGTAACTGCCAGGGGCAGTGGCTCTCACCTGTAATCTCACCACTTTGGGAGGCTGAGGTGAGAGGATCACTTGAGCCAAGGATTTCAAGATTAGCCTGGGCAATGCAGTGAGACACTCTCTAAAAAAATTTTTTTAAAGCCAAGCATGGTGGCACATGCCTGCAGTCCTAACTATTGGGGAGACTGAGGCAGGAATATCACCCAGGGGTTTGTGGTTGCAGTGAGCCATGATGGTGTCACTCCAATCTGGGTGACAGAGTGAGACCCTGTCTCTATCTCAGTGGGGAAAGAATTAAGATACATTTATGGCACTGCTTCAAACTTATTTTTTTTTATTTTAATAGGGAATTCCACCCCTACTACCTCTCTTTTTGGGAAACTGTCTGCAGATTCCCAGCATGTAAAATATATAAAAGTGGGTCAGACACATTGGTTCACACCTGTAATCCCAGCACGTTGGGAGACCGAGGTGGGTAGATGGCTTGATGTCAGTAGTTCGAGACCAGCCTGGCCAACACAGCAAAACGCTGTCTTTACTAAAAATACAAACATTTTCCAGGCATGGTGGCACACACCTGTAGTCTCAGCTACCCAGGAGACTGAGGCAGGAGAATCTCTTGAACCCAGGAGGCAGAGATTACAGTGAGCCAAGATCACACCACCGCACTCCAGCCTGGGAAACAGTGTGAGACTCTGTAAAAAAAAAAGTGTATATATATATATATATATATATATATATATATATGGAGGTGGAGAGAAGGCTGAGCCCCATCACCTCAGGCTCTTTTCTCTTGCTGCTCTGCTCTACAGAGCCAGGAAACAACATCAAAAACATATTGGTTATTGTAAGTTGGGTATCACCATCAGTAAACTCCTTAAGAAGCATCATGTTCTCATTTATATCCTTGACTACAAAGTCAGGTGCTGCATAAGGAAGTCTTGGTCAATGGCAGACCACATATATGAGGGTGGTCCCATAATTATCATATCATGTCTTTACTGTAGCTTCTCTATGTTTAGATAAACAAATTTTTACCATGTGTTACAACAGCCCACAGGATTCAGTACACATGCTGCGCAGGTTTGCAGCCTAGAAGACACAGGTTACGCCATACAGTGTGATGTGCAGTAGGCTGTGCAGCACCTAGGATTGTGTAAGTGCACTCTATGGCATTTGCACAGCAATGGAATTGCCTAATGATGCCTTTCTCAGAACATCTCCCAATCATTAATCAACGCATCACTGTATCCGTCAGCTGTTTAAATGTCTATAGGTCTCCATGTTGTGCCAGCATGTCAATATGATTAAACACACCTGAAATTCTAATATGAGTAACTGAGACATTCTATTTATCAGTCAATAGTATGTGTTTTCCTTCACAGAAAAACTACAAACAGGTCACTAATTCTAAGTAATGTGTTTTCTAATATTACACTTTGCTTTTGTCCGCATGAAGTTAATGTCACAGGTAAAAACTCATTGTAGAGGTGCAAATGGGGAAATTTGGCAATTCTGACATAATATGGCTAAATTTCTACCTGATGTTTGCAACTTATAGTGTCTAGTTCAAGTCTCATTTCACAAATGACAAAGCCAGAGAGGTTGGTTCCCAAGGCCATAGCAAGCACTGCAGGGGCAGGGGGCTTACTCATGAACGCCAGTGACCATACGTAAGTGGAAATCTCTGCAGCTCACTCATCAGACAGCAGACAATCCAGAGTAGCACTGTCCAGCGGAACTCTCTGAGTGATGGAAATGATCTGGGTCTGTATCTGCACTGGCCAGCATGGTAGCCCTCAGCAACGTGACCTAAAATGTAGCAGTGCGACCAAGGAACTGAATTTTAAATTTCAGTTGATTTTGACTTGTTTTCATTTCAATATAAATAGCCACATGTGGCTGGTGGTTACCATATTGGGCAGAGTGAGTCTAGACTGACAGGTCTAGTGGTTTCATGTGATGACAATTAAATTAACCACTGCGATATTACTCAGGGTAGGTGAGAGTGGCTCCAAGCAGGAGAAGGACTTACCATCTCCATCCTCTCCATAGGCCAGAAAAGGAGGGATGGTGATGATGCGCTTCTCCCCCACACACATCCCCAGCAGGCCTTTGTCCATTCCCGGAATCAGCCAGCCAATTCCCACATATGTGTCATATGTTTTCATGCGGTTGTGACTGAAAGCCAATGAGAAAGGGGAAAAGTTTCACACCATGAGGATGTTTCCAACTCATCTCTCAGGACGGGTTTTGTTACCCAAATATGAGCTAAACAGTGATCCCATACCCTTCCTGAGAGATAGGCATATATAGATCTTTGCCCCCAAACACAGGGCAGACATCCTTAAGTTTAGAAAGAAATAAAAAGCATGCATTTATACTAGTGGTAGACGAAAACAGGCTAGTTATTCCACTAATCAAACACACTCCAATGAGAAGAAATTTCGAAGGATTCCTGATCTCCAGCATAGCCACATGCCTCTCCATAGCTTCAAATACATTCATCTTTCCCCTCCTGTTTCCATGGGAAAGCTATAAAAAGTGAACCAAAATGTGTGTAAGCCTCCTTAGAAGTACAGCCTGGCCAGGCGCGGTAGCTCACGCCTGTAATCTCAGTACTTTGGGAGGCCAAGGTAGGTAGATCACAAGGTCAGAAGATCGAGACCATCCTGGCCAACACAGTAAAACCCCATCTCTATTAAAATACAAAAAATTAGCCAGCCATAGTGTTGCACGCCTGTAGTACCAGCCACTCAGGGGGCTGAGGCAGGAGAATCCCTTGAATCTGGAAGGCGGAGGTTGCAGTGAGCTGAGATCGTGTGACTGCACTCCAGCCTGGGTGACAGAGTGAGACTCTGTCAAAAAAAGAAAAAGAAATACAGCCTTTGACTTAATGATGACATCTCAAAATACAGTTAAGTTAGATAAACATTGCTCTTAAATGTTTCTAAGATGTATTAAAATTTTGACTGTGGCACCAGAGACGATGCAACACTGACCAAAAATCTCAAGTAGATGAGTTCAGCACTAGTTATAATTGAAAAGAGTCCTTGGCAGGGCGCAGTGGCTCAAGCCTGTAATCCCAGCACTTTGGGAGGCCGAGGCGGGTGGATCACGAGGTCAAGAGATCAAGACCATCCTGGTCAACATGGTGAAACCCTGTCTCTACTAAAAATACAAAAATTAGCTGGGCACGGTGGCGCATGCCTGTAATCCCAGCTACTTGGGAGGCTGAGGCAGGAGAATTGCTTGAACCCAGGATGTGGAGGTTGCAGTCAGTCGAGATCGCCCCATTGCACTCCAGCCTGGGTAACAAGAGCAAAACTCTGTCTCAAAAAAAAAAAAAAAAAAAAGAGTCCTTATTCTGGTTTCCCCATGGGCATAAAAAGCAAGTAAGACAGAAGGAAAGAACCATGGGACATTTCACTAATATTGCCATGAACGGCAGAACTTACCTCGAATCAAACAGAGTCCCATCCAGGAACGTCCCATTGTAGTGGTACCTCACAAAATCAGACACTTGGATGGTCCGAGGGCAACTTGGGGGCTTGAAATAGGTGTGAATCTGAACCTGGTCTTCAGAATTCCAAATATCCATCAGAAGTACATCAAAATGAAGCACTGAATTGGGGGGGATCACACCAGCTAGAAATTAAAGATTTCACACTGAGTTCACAGTTGCTGCCTTTCAGGCCAGATAAAAACACCTAGGAGGCTGCCAAAGTGAATGTGGGCCAAAAATATTCAAGCAGTCACTGCTATACAATTCCAAAATGCCCCATTCTTCCTCCCTCTTTCCTCCAAATGAAATTGAAAGGAAAGATAAAAAACAAAGTTTTCTTCTCATTGAGAGTATCATTCGGCCGGGTGCAGTGGCTCAAGCCTGTAATCCCAGCACTTTGGGAGGCCAAGGTGGGTGAATCACGAGGTCAAGAGATCGAGACCATCCTGGTCAACATGGTGAAACCCCGTCTCTACTAAAAATACAAAAAATTAGCTGGGCATGGTGGCACGTGCCTGTAATCCCAGCTACTCAGGAGGCTGAGGCAGGAGAATTGCCTGAACCCAGGAGGCGTAGGTTGTGGTGAGTAGAGATCAGGCCATTGCACTCCAGCCTGGGTAACAACAGCGAAACTCCGTCTCAAAAAAAAAAAAAAAAGAAAAGAAAAAGTAAAAGAGAGAGTATCATTCAATACACCTGTGTTAATGACACTTTCTTTCACATCTAAAGAAACAAACCTAAGACGGAAATTTTAGCTGTGTATGAGTTCATGCTTTTCACTTCCCCCCAGTCTAAAGATTCCAAGATTCTCCAGTCTGTTGGACTTATTAACAGCCTAAAAGTGTTCTCGTTGTTTCTGCAGATGTGTTTATAAATGAGGAACAAAAGCTTACAAACTCCTTCACTTCCATAGGCAAGCCTCGGGGGAATCTTCACGAAACGTCTCTCATTTACACACATGCCAACAAGAGCCTGGTCCATCCCTGCGATCAGCTGTCCTTTCCCCACAAACACGTTGAAAGTGGAGTCTCTGTCGTAGCTGAAGACCAGAAGGGTAGGGAGAGAGAAAGAAAAGTATTAGTCCCTTCCTCAGCACTTTGGGAGGCCAAGGCAGGTGGATCACAAGGTCAGAAGATCGAGACCATCCTGGCCAACCTGTAAAAACGTGCCCAGGACGTAATGCAGCCACAGCAAAGCAAAAGGCCTGCCACGGAGACACTGACACACGAACATCTCCACTGGACAGTACTTGTGGGTTGGAAATTTTAGACTATCTTGAATACTGCCAGCAAATCTAGCTCAATAAGAATCAGCATAACTCTCTTCAGAAAAAAAAAACATGGGATGGGAGGGCAATCTGACTACGGCATCTGTCACCCCATTGGTCGCCGGGTTGATTCCGCTGATCTGCCTGGCAAGGCAGGTGTCCCCTTCCTCCCTCACCGCTCCATGTGCATCCCTCCGCTGCACGCTCGGTCGAAGAGGATGACCATCCCCGATAGAGGAGGACCGGTCTTCGGTCAAGGGTATACGAGCAGCTGGGCTCCCCTGCTAGAACCTCCAAACGAGCTCTCAAGAAAAAAAAAATGTGTTAAGCTGATTTTGCAAAAGAGTTACCTATTCTTTCACACACACACACAAAAGAGGGAGTTGGCTGTAGTCATGCTAGGGCTTTGAGAGGCCAAGGCAAGAGGATCATTTGAAGCTAGGAGTTCAAGACCAGCCTGGGCAAAAAAGAGGCACCTCCTTTCTACTAAATAAATAGATATCTATAATTAGCCACATGTAGTGGTGCATGCCTATAGTCCCAGCTACTTCAGAAGCTGAGGTGGGAGGAGCACTTGAGCCCAGGAGAGTGAGGCTGCAGTGAGCTATGATTGCACCACTGCACTCCGGCCTGGGCGACGGAGTCTCAAAAAATAAAGTAAAATAAAAAAGACTTTACGGCCAGGTACAGTGTCTCACACCTGTAATCCCAGCACTTTGAGAGGCCAAGGAGAGTGGATAACATGAGCTCAGGAGTTCGAGACCAGCCTGGCCAACGTGGTAAAACCCCATCTCTACTAAAAATACAAAAAATTAGCCAGGCGTGGTGGCACGCGCCTGAAGTCCTGGCTACTCGGGAGGCTCACACCTGGGAGGTGGAGGTTGTAGTGAGCCATGATTGCTCCCCTGCACTCCAGCCTGGGCAACAGAGCGAGACTCCATCTCAAAAAAAAAAAAAAAAAAAAAAAAGTCTTTACTCCATTTTCTATGTGATTGGTACCTAAAAGCAACATCATAGGTACTAATGGCCCAGGTTAGTACATACGCACACATTTGATTTTTTTTAAGTCATCCAGCTAAGTCAAACAGAGAGGCAGCATGGTAAGAACATTAAACACACTTAACTTCTCTTAACCTCAGTTTCCTCCACTGCAAAATGCAAGTGATAATAACAGTCACCCCAAACACAAAAACTGCTCTGAACACCTAAGCGTTCTGCCAACATTACTATAATTAACGTGGGTAACAGAAAGTATAATGTAGTCTTATGATCACTAATATATGTGTTTCAAAGGCCTTATATCAAAAGATAAATAATTAAATCATAGCTGTGACTCATACCTTTATCTTCTTCAGTGTCAGATTTAGCAATCAGCAGGGGTTTGGGGGATATAAAGTACAAGCCACGGACTTTGCCTACAAGTACTTTATAAACTGATAGAGACCCACAGAGTTTCAGAAGACATAAAATAAAATGCTCTATGGCATTTTATTATAACAGATTTCTACTCACTGACATGAAGGAATATATATATAATAAGAGTAAAGGTCAGGTTACAGTGCCAGGCGTGATGGCTCATGCCTGCAATCCCAGCACTTTGGGAGGCCAAGGAGGGTGGATCACTTGAGGTCAGGGGTTCAAGACCAGCCTGGCCAACATGGTGAAACCCCATCTCTACTAAAAATAAAAAATTAGCTGGACGTGGTGGTGTGCACCTGTAGTCCCAGCTACTCGGGAGGCTGAAGCACAAGAATTAATTGAACCTGGGAGGTGAATGCTGCAGTGAGCTGAGATGGTCCCATTGCATTCCAGTCAGGGTGACAGAATGAGACTTTCTCGCAAAAAAAAAAAAAAAAAAAAAAAGCGGGGGCAGGTTAACACAGTATAAAACCACCCCATTTTCAGCTTATATATATATAGATACCTATGAAAAAATCCACAAGGCAATACATGAAATATTATCTATCAGCAACAGGTAGAGGACTTCAGGTGACTGAATTTGTTTTCTTTTTAATTATCTTACTTTTCAAAATGATCAAATAATTACCAATGTAATAAAATGTTAAAGGCCACTGGGATTTCCTTCATGAGGATGTGTCACCCTTCATTTTGCAAAATACTTCTTTTTTTTTTGAGACGAAGTTTTGCTCTTGTTACCCAGGCTGGAGTGCAATGGTGCGATCTCGGCTCACTGCAACCTCCGCCTCCTGGGTTCAGGCAATTCTCCTGCCTCAGCCTCCCGAGTAGCTGGGATTTCAGGCATGTGCCACCATGCCCAGCTAATTTTTTGTATTTTTAGTAGAGACGGGGTTTCGCCATGTTGACCAGGATGGTCTCGATCTCTTGACCTCGTAATCCACCCGCCTCGGCCTCCCAAAGTGCTGGGATTACAGGCTTGAGCCACCACGCCCGGCCCTGCAAAATACTTTCACTTTTTCCTCTTTTTCTCTAATGAACAGTTTGGGTGAGCCACAGAGTCCACCTCACCACTCCCCCGAGGGCAGCTTCCTGAGACCCGGCCCTCTTCTGTTTCTCCTCCCAGTTTTACAGCCTATTTTAATAGCTTTCCTTTCCTCAAGGTCAGTGAACAGAAACCAAGATTTCAAGCACAAGCCAACAAGCCAGAGGACAAAAGCACATGGTCAGTTTCGTGCCCAAGTCAGCTTTACACTTCAAACCTCTACCTCCGGGGCCCCAACCGCCACCCCCTGGAATGCCCGCTCTTGAATTACACTTGGCTGGGGCCTCCCCCTGCCACTAAGCCATCATCAAGCTGGTGGATTTATTATAATAACGGGCTGGAAAACAAGGTTTCAAAGACTCCTAAGGCACAGAACACACAAATAGCAACAATGCACCAGCAAGAAACTACTTTAAAAATATTTTTTTCATTCACAGAACCCAAATATACTTCCCAAATTTAACAAAACTTTTTTTTTAGCACTTACACACTGCCGGGCACAGCAGCAAACTCTTCATATATATATACTACCCCATTTAATCCTCATGCAATACTTTAAGGTGGGTGCCCTGATACTCAGGCTCTTTGGAGGTCACAAAATTTCCTAAGCTCATGAAATTAAACATGGGTGGGGGTGGAGAAGCGAGAATCTAAGACCTTCTGATTCCCAAACTCCAGGGTCTCGGCCTGCCTAGAGGCATAGAGAAACAGTTGTTGCCCAGCTTGGGCAATATTGCAAAATCCCATCTCTACTAAAAATACAAAAAAATAGCTGAGCATGGTGGTGTGTGCACGTGGTCCCAGCCACTCAGGAGGCTGAGGTAGGAGGATAACTTGAACCTGGAAGGCTGAGGCTGCAGTGAGCCAAGATCGTACCCTGGCACTCCATCCTGAGTGACAGAGTGAGAAAAAGAAAAGAAAAGAAAAAGGAAGGAAAGGAAAGGAAGAAAAAGAAAGAAAGACAGGAAGGAAGGGAAGGAAGGAAGGAAAAAAAAGAAAGAAAGAAGAAAGGAAAGAAAGAAAGAAAAAGAAAGAAAGAGAAGAAAGAAAGAAGGAAAGAAAGAAAGAAGGAAGGAAGGAAGGAAGGAAGGAAGGAAGGAAGGAAGGAAGAGAAAGAAGAAAGAAAGAAAGAAAGAAAGAAAGAAAGAAAGAAAGAAAGAAAGAAAGAAAGAAAGAAAAGAAAGAAGGAAAGAGTTGTTGCCTCACGGTATTGACTTTTTCATTTGATGCTGCCTAAGCACTGTGAACAATTAAGCACCAAAGTGATAAAAACCAAAAAACCTTTCCAAAAGAAAGTGTATGTATTTGTACATTAATAATGTATACATTTATACAAGAGGCTAACAATGCAAGACCACTGTTACCTACTGCTTAAAATTCTGACCATCTGGAAAAATCAAGTTGTTTTGAACAAATTTATTCTGATCAGCACAATTGGCACAAACTCACGGGCAGTGTCGACCCCAGGGCTGGTCATGAACATTCTTTCTGCACACTCTGGAATAAGCATTTATACAACGTGTCCTGGTATCTGGCTTATTCACACCTTTTACAGGCATCTCATTCAGGGAAACAGATGACACTCCCAAACGAGGCTGTTCCAGGAAAGTTTAATAATGAAATGTGCACAGCTGACATTATACTCATTGGAGAAAACTAAAAGGTTTTCCCCTGTAACTGGGAATAAGGAAAAGATGCCTGCTTTCAACACTTTTTTCAACATGGTCCTGGAACTCCTAGCCAGAGCAATTAAGCAAGACAAAGAAATATATGGCACAGAAATTGGAAAGAAAGAAGTAAAAATATCTCTTTTAACAGATGAAAAGATTTTATATACAGAAAACGCTATAAGAGTCCATTAAAAAAGCTGCTAAAACTAATAAACATTGGACTTGATGGTTCTGTGGGGAAAAACAACAACTAATAAACAAATCTGGCAAATTTGCAGAACACGAAATCAACACCCCCAAATCAATTGGCTTTCTGCTTGTTTAAAAGTGTGTGGCACCTCCCACCCTGTCTCTCTTGCTCCCACTCTTGCCATGTGAGATGTCTGCTCCCCTTTTCCCTCCCACCGTGACTATAAATCTCCTGAGGTCCTCACCAGAAGCTGATGCCAGCATGCATGCTATGCTTCCTGTACAGCCTGCAGAACTGAGTCAATTAAACCTCTTTTCTTTCTTTCTTTTCTTTTTTTTTTTTTAGATGGAGTCTTGCTCTGCTGCCAGGCTGGAGTGCAGTGGCACGATCTCAGTTCATTGAAACCTCCACCTGCTGGGTTCAATCGATTCTTCTGCCTCAGCCTCCTGAGTAGCTGGGATTACAGGGGCGCACCACCATGCCCAGCTAATTTTTGTATTTTTAGTAGGCACAGGGTTTCACCATGTTGGTCAGGCTGGTCTCGAACTCCTGCCCCTGTATTCCACCCACCTCAGCCTCCCAAAGTGCTAGGATTACAGGCTTGAGCCACTGTGCCTGGCCTAAACCTCTTTTCTTATAAATTACCCAGCCTCAGGTATTTCTTTGCAGCGATGCAAGAATGACCTAACACATGCGCATTGGTTGAATCCAACCAAAGCCACCAGACAAGGGGTCATTGACACAACCCACACCGTGCACATGTAGTCCATACAGGTCAGCCTCCCAGAGCAAAAAGCAAACGGAACAGGTGGAGAGTGGACCTAGAAAGGCAAATGGAAACCACCTAGCATATCCAACACCCTCCTTTCCTCTCCACCAGCTTGTTTTCGTCTCCTTCCATCACTGCCCAGGGTGGCAGGGCAGTGGGGGAAGAATGGGAAAGGTGTCTGCAGCACCCTCTGATGATGCTTTTCAAAAAACCCAAGGACCACTAAGACAAGAGACATCACAGTCGACTCACTAAGCTGCCTACACAGAAGCTCACGTTATCTTGGCGACACATTACTTGAGATAAATAACTATACCAATGGCTATTCTTTTTTTTTTTGAGACAGAGTCTCACTCTGTCACTCAGGCTGGAGTGCAGTGGCATGACCTTGGCCCACCGCAATCTCTGCCTCCCAGGTTCAAGCAAGTCTCCTGCCTCAGCCTCCCTAGAAAAGCCACCACGCCCAAATAATTTTTGTATTTTTAGTAAAGACAGGTTTTCACTACGTTGGCCAAGCTGGTCTTGAATCCTGACCTCAGGAGATCCACCTGCCTCAGCCGCCCAAAGTGCTGAGATTACAGGTGTGAGCCACCACGCCCAGCCCCCCATGGCTATGTTCTTAAGGCAAAATGGGGCTTCTGAATATAGGTTTAAATCTGCACTAAGAACGAACTTTTAAAAGGACAAATGGGCTGGGCACGGTGGCTCACACCTGTAATCCCAGCACTTTGGGAGGCCGAGGCGGGTGGATCATGAGGTCAAGAGATTGAAACCATCCTGGTCAACATGGTGAAACCCCGTCTCTACTAAAAATACAAAAAATTAGCTGGGCATGGTGGCACGTGCCTGTAATCCCAGCTACTCAGGAGGCTGAGGCAGGAGAATTGCCTGAACCCAGGAGGCGGAGGTTGAGGTGAGCCTAGATCACACCATTGCACTCCAGCCTGGGTAACAAGAGCGAAACTCCGTCTCAAAAAAAAAAAAAAAAGGACAAATGGCAGACTGGGTGTGGTGGCTCAAGTGGTAATCCCAACACTTTGGGAGGCCAAGGTGGGTGAATCAATTGAGCTCATGAGTTTGAGACCAGCCTGGGCAACATGGTGAAACCCTGTCTCTACCAAAAATACAATCCTGGCTACTCGGGTGGCTGAGGAACGAGAATTGTTTGCACCCGGGAGGCAGAGGTTGCAGTGGGAACCACTGCACTCCACCTGAGCAACAGAGAGAGATCCTGCCTCAGAAAGAAAGAAGAAAAAAAAGACTGCTATATTTTGAGAACCCATAACAGAGAGGAAGCAAGGTAAGGAAGAACAAGCCCACTGGGCGTGGGAACTCCCTTCTGGGGGCCTCAAAGTGGGTCCTGTCTCACTTGGGCCACTTTGGATGGCTGACTCACAAGGGGACATGCTTGATGTGAGGACTGTGGTCCTGCCACCAACCTTCACGAGTGGGACTGAAACTCACCTCCCCACTGGCTGCCAGGGTCCCAGCTGAGACACCCCCTGCACTGGCTGAGTTCCACCACTGACACTGGATCCTACTGCTTCCCACCTACCCCTCCACACAGTCACCCCCAGAGGGGACTCTGAGCTTTCTAGACCCTTTGCCCAAGATGATTTCCCTCAAACCACCACCTCTACCAGTAGCTAATGAGACATGCCAGGAAGAAAAGAAAAGCAGTTAATGAACCGGCGAACTACCCAGGAAAGTGTGAGGAGGAGGAAGGGAAGGGAGGTGGAGGAGGAGAGAGGGAGCAAGTGGGAGCAGAGGAGAAGAAATGAGAGAGAACGCCTCCATTCATAGCTCCTCCTGGAGAATCAGACCCTGAAACATGAGCTGTTGGCTTGGATGGGCTTCGGGCCATTAAAACATCATTAAATCAATTGCTGTTACGGATTTTTGTTTTTTCGAAACTGCACAAATTAAAATGTCAGACCCCTATAGACAATTCCCATTTTTCACAGGGCTCAGCCCAGTAAAATACCATGTAGCCAAACTGAATTGGTAATAGGGATGTGCAACTGCTCGCAATGACCCACAGATGAAAATTCAAAGCCCCGCTAGTAAGTCCTCACTGGGGGTGCTTGACTGGCTGCCAATGGCCTCGGAGACCGCGGCGAGAAGTGGCTGGGATCTTTCCCCCAGTTAGCAGAAACGCGTGGGGCAGCTTCCCTTTCAGCACTCTCCTTCTCCATAGGAAGCACTGCGATGCGGATTCACACTCTAAACACCTCCTAAACCAGCATGTCCTGACCTGGCCAGTCACTCTGATGCCACTGCCCCCATCAGGCCCCCCCACCCTGCACTGACTCCATCCTGGCTGCTGCCCAGCCCACTGGCTCCTCCCTGAGGACCAGTCCTGCTGAAGAGGTCAGTCTGGGCCCCCACTTAGGACCATGTGACTTAACGCCCAATAGAGTGGACACCTGCCCAAGCAGCACCCATCAGATTATGTCCTGGAAACCTGGAGGTGAGACAGTCCAGTTTCCGTAGTTGGTGCTGGATCCCAGAGACCATGTGTGCAGCGTGGAAAGCTGGCTTGAGCACTCTCTTTCTCGTGGGAGAGAATGAAACCCCGTCGGCAACCCCTTGGGGAGAGGCAGAAAGTCACCTCAGTCCATGATTCTGGAACCTCACAAGGAATTGAAGATCCTTCCAATAAATTCCCTCTCCTTTCTGCTTAAGTCTGCAGGTATGGACTTGTGTTCTCCCCAAACCTGACTAGGGGGCGGGGGTTTTTTTTTTTTTTTTGAGATGGAGTTTCGCTCTTGTTGCCCAGGCTGGAGTGCAATGACACGATCTCGGCTCACCGCAACCTCCACCTCCTGGGTTCAGGCAATTCTCCTGCCTCAGCCTCCTGAGTAGCTGGGATTACAGGCACGTGCCACCATGCCCAGCTAATTTTTTGTATTTTTAGTAGAGACGGGGTTTCACCTTGTTGACCAGGATGGTCTCAATCTCTTGACCTCATGATCCACCTGCCTCGGCCTCCCTAAGTGCTGGGATTACAGGCGTGAGCCACCGCGCCTGGCCAAGGGCAGGGATTTTTGTCGGCTTTATCCTCTGCTGTATCTCAGTACCTGGAATGTTAGGAGCTGGATGAGTCCCTATGTAAAAGGACGTCCCGATGAGGCTGATCTCTAGAACTTCTACTTAGCCTATAGTCCATTCACTGAGCCCCTCAATCCCCTTACTCCTCTGAACAAAAACCTTCCCTTCAAAAGATTCTGGGCTGGGTGCATTGGCTCACACCTGTCATCCCAGCAATTTCGGAGGCCAAGGCAGGAAGATCACCTGAAGTCCAGAGTTCGAGACTAGCCTGGCCAACACGGTGAAACCTCATCTCTACTAAAAATACAAAAATTAGCTAGACAAGGTGGCACATGCCTGTAATTCCAGCTACCAGCTACTCAGGAGGCTGAGGCAAGAGAATCGCTTGAACCCAGGACGTGGAGGTTGCACTGAGCCGAGATTGCACCGCCACTCCAGCCTGGGCAACAGAGCGAGACTCCATCTCAAAAAAATAAAAAACAAAAAAAAAACAACCCTGTCATGGCTCAACAACATTATGTGGGCAAGAAACACAGAAAACAGGAGACCAAGCTCAAACTAATGGCGCGCTATGGGCGGATGGCGGACCCTGCTGTCACTGACTTTCCAGCTGGAAAGGGCTACCCCTGCAAAACGTGTAAGATAGTGCTGAACTCCATAGAACAGTACCAAGCTCATGTCAGTGGCTTCAAACACAAGAACCAGTTACCAAAAACAGTGGCATCATCCCTGGGCCAGATTCCAATGCAAAGGCAACCCATTCAGAAAGACTCAACCACCTTGGAAGACTAGAGGTGTTTCTGCCCAGTGTCCCATGTTGGGCCAGCCATGAGCCAGCTTCCTGTGACTACTCAGCCCTTGGCTCCCTCTCACTCCTTGTTCTCACCAGGAAAATACACAGGCCTGAGGCAGGATTGGGCCACAAACAACAACAACAAAAAAAATGGTTCTCCCACCCCCTTCCAGTGCTGGGTCCCCTGCCTCCTGACCCAAATATTGGGGCCTCTCACTGCTCCTTGAGCAGTCACCGTTCAGGCCCTGACTCTCGTCCACCCTATCCACTCTCTTAAACACACTTCCCGCTTCAAGGAATGAAATCCCACTCATGCTCAAGGCCCAACTCACGCATCAGCTCCTCCTCAAAACCTTCCCTATGGCTTCAGAAATCCTTCCCTCCCTGGAACTGGTAGAGGTATCTGTGCATACTACTCACAAGGCACTCCCCACATGTTGGCTGCTTTGTGTGAGGCATGAGAGCACTAGTCCAGAATCTGGAGGACAGTAATATTAGCTGGGTGACCACTGTCCTCTCACCTTTCTGGGCCTGTCACCCCATCATCCCACCCCTCATTCCCACTGTTTTTTCTCCATAGCCCTCACCCACTTCTACTTGACCATATAACTTAAGAGTACATCTGTCTTTTCACTAGCATGTAAGCTCCCTGAGGGCAGATATTTCTGTTTTAGCACCTGGAAGAGTAGGTACTCAGTAAATATTTGTCGGATGAATAAATGAATTCCAGTCTGGCCAACATGGCGAAACCCCATCTCCACTAAAAATACAAAAATTAGCCAGGTGTGGTGGCGCACGCCTCTAATCCCAGCTGCTCAGGAGGCTGAGGCAGAGGAATTGCTTGCACCCAGGAGGCAGAGGCTGCAGTGAGGTGAGATTGTGTCACTTCATGCCAGCCTGAACAACAGAGCAAAACTCTGTCTCAGAAAAAAAATGAATAAATGAATGATTTAATGCATATGTAAAATGAATATGCAAAATGTCCACTGTTGATGATTCTATGATTCTTTTAGAGCAGTGGTCCCCAAACTTTTTGGCAACAAGGACCGGTTTCATGGAAGGAATTCAAATTTTCTATGACCGCGGTCGGGGTATGATTTCAGGATTATTTAAGTATATTACATTTATTGTGCACTCTATTTCTATTATTATTACACTGTAATACATAACGAAATAATTATACAACTCACTGTAACATAGAATTAGTGGGAGCCCTGAGCTTGTTTTCCTCCAACTAGATAGTCCCACCTGGTGGTGGGCAGTGACAGATCAGGCATTAGATTCTCATAAGGAGTGCACCACCTAGATCCCTCACATGTGCAGTTCACAATAGGGCTCACGCACCTGTGAGAATCTCATTCCCCTGCTGATCTGACAGTGGGCTGAGCTCACGTGATGTGAGCAATGGGGAGCGGTTGTAAATGTAGATGCAGCTTTGCTTGCTCACCTGCTGCTCACCACCTGCTGTGCAGCTCAGGTCCCAACAGGCCGTAGATCAAAACAGGTCCATGGCCAGGGGCTCGGGACCCCTGTTTGACTTATTTGAATAAATTGATGTCCCATTCCAGGAGTTCTGTTTCAGAGCAGTGGTTCTCAAGGTGTGGTCCTCAGACCAGTAGCATCAGGAACTTGTCAGAAAAGCAAATTCTTAGGCCCTTATCCCAGAGCTACTGAATCAGAAACTGTATAACAAGCTCTCCACATATTCAGAAGTATATGCAGTTTAAACACTGCTGTGCTCGAGCATCTACAACTCTGTATATCCAAAAAGGCACGTGGTAGGTACATAATAACATTTATCAAAAGACAAGACTAGGGCCGGGCGCGGTGGCTCACGCCTGTAATCCCAGCACTCTGGGAGGCCGAGGCGGGTGGATCACGAGGTCAAAATATCGAGACCATCCTGGTCAACATGGTGAAACCCCGTCTCTACTAAAAATACAAAAATTAGCTGGGCACGGTGGCGCATGCCTGTAATCCCAGCTACTCGGGAGGCTGAGGCAGGAGAATTGCCTGAACCCAGGAGGCGGAGGTTGCTGTGAGCCGAGATCGCGCCATTGCACTCCAGCCTGGGTAACAAGAGTGAAACTCCGTCTTAGGGAAAAAAAAAAAGACAAGACTAGACCTTAAGGATCTGCAGACACAACCCTGAGCTCCCCGCTGGTGAATTTCAATCATCCTTGGGCCTTAACCCTGCCATACCAGGATTCCATCCTAACCTCCCCCGACATAGACACACAAACATATGGTTAAGTCTTTTCTGTGCTTTCAAAGCTACTTACCTCTCTTCCATGACATATGCGGGTGGCCTACAGACCATAGGTTATGGCCATGAACTACCTGGGTTCAAATCTCTACTGAACCACTTAGTAATTAGGTTCCTTGGGCAAGTCATTTGAACTTTCCGAGCCTCGGTTTCTTCATTCGTAATGAGGAACCTGCCTCACTGTCTTGTGAACGTAAATGAATTCTTCCGAGATTAAATGAGTTAACATAAGAGGAGGCACATGGTAAGAACTATGTGTAGAGACAGAGTGTGCCCTACTATCTTACCGTACTTATCACACTATGTTGTAATAGGCTAGGGTATGAGTGGTAGGGTTGCGGAAGGGACATACTAGACTACTACTAGTCTCTGTCTTTTTTTTTTTTTTTTTTTTTTGAGACGGAGTTAGTTTCACTCTTGTTACCCAGGCTGGAGTGCAATGGCGCGATCTCGGCTCACCGCACCCTCCGCCTCCTGGGTTCAGGCAATTCTCCTGCCTCAGCCTCCTGAGTAGCTGGGATTACAGGCACGCGCCACTGTGCCCAGCTAATTTTTTTGTATTGTTAGTAGAGACGGGGTTTCATCATGTTGACCAGGCTGGTCTCGATCTCTTGACCTCGGGATACACCAGCCTTGGCCGCCCAAAGTGCTGGGATTACAGGCGTGAGCCACCGCGCCCGGCCCAGTCTCTGTCTTGAGGGATAGACACCTGCATAAACGTTTGATGAATGGATGATAGCTCCTCTGTGATCTTTCAACTAACTGCCCTACACTGCCTCACAGTGGCTGCCAGCCCTAGAGATGTTCTAGAGAGTAGGACAACTTGTTCTACTGAGAATTAATCACTTTCAACTCAAGGAAGAAATTCTTCCCTATGAAGAAGCACATGAAAGAAGATACACAAATGGTCAATAAACACATGATGGTCAGCATCGTCAGCCGTTAGGAAAATGTAGATCAAAACCACAATGAGATACCATTTCACAACCACTAAATGGCTGTAATCAAAGACAGGCCGGGCACAGTGGCTCATGCCTGTAATCCCAGCACTTTGAGAGGCTGAGGCAGGAAGATCACCTGAGGTCAGGAGTTCGAGACCAGCCTGGCTAACATGGTGAAACCCAGTCTCTACTAAAAATACAAAAATTAGCCAGGTGTGGTAGCAGAAGCCTGTAATCCCAGCTATTCGGGAGGCTGAAGCAGAAGAATTGCTTGAACCTGGGAGGCGGAGGTTGTAGTGAGTGGAGAATTGTGCCATTGCACTCCCACCTGGGCAACAAGAGTGAAATTCCGTCTCAAAAAAAAAAAAGACAGACAAGTACAAGTGTTGGTGAGACCACAGAGAACTAAGAACCCTCATACACTGCTGGTCGGAATGTAAAATGGTGCAGCCATTGCAAACAGTTTGGCTATTCTTCAAAATGTGTGTAACATAATTGCCATAGGACACAGCAATTCCAACTCCTAGGTACACATACAAAAAAAGGGGAAAGAGATATCCACACAAAACCTTGAACACGAAGGTTCATGACATCATTCATTATAGCCAAAACGTGTAAGCAATTTAAAGGCCCATCAACTGACGAATGGACACAACGGAATATTACATATACAGCCACAAAAAGAAATGAAATACTGATATGCCCTGCAATGTAGATGAACCATGACAAAGCACCTCAAATTATATGATTCCATTTATACGAAATGCCCAGGATAGGCAAATCCATAGAGAGATAAAGTGGATTAGTGGCTGAAAGGGACTGGAGGATAGACTATTGGGGTTGGGAAGTGACTGATAATGTGTCCAACGTTTCTTTTTGTGGATTGATGAAATTGTTCTGGAATTTGCTAGTTGTGACGTTTGCACAACTCTGTGAATATATGAAAAAACACTGAATTGTACAAACCAAATGGACAAATTGTCTGATATGTGAATTATATCTCAATAAAGCTGTTCTTTAGAAAACAAAAGCAACCAAAAAAGTAGTAAGAAAGACCATTTCCAAGCACTTGCTAGTGCCACATACTATGCTAAACAGCTTTTGTATATTCATTACCTGGAATTAAAAAAAAAAAAAAAAAGCTAGAGTCTACAAAATATTCATAATGACTCTAGGCCTTGGGGCACATAACAGGGCTCAGCAAATACCGCTGTCTGCCTCGTCTGGTGATTCACAAGTACTGGCACAGACCAGGGTTTGTCACAAAAGCCCTGGGGAGGAGTAGCCTGGTGCTGGAGGAGGAGAGGCCTGTTAACCCTGACCCGAAACTGGGAGGAAACTGGGGACTGGTGCTGTGATCCTGAGGCAGGGCTGAGTGAAGGAGTCCTAGGCCCGGAGCAAAGCAGAGTGGCTGTCCTGGACCACCTCCTGCCCGCCAGGAGTGTTGTTTTGTTTTGAGATAGGATCTTTCTCTGTAGCCCAGGCTGGAGTGCAGTGGCACGATCACAGCTCCCTGCAGCCTTAAACTCCTGGGACCAAGCGATCCTCCCACCTCGGCCTCCCAAAGTGCTGTGACCACAAGCGTGAGCCACCACACCCGGCCCCAGGAGAGATTTTTGTATGGCCGGAAGGGAGGGCAGTGGTAGTTGCGCGCAGACTCTGGACTTGGGTTAAACAATCTGACTCCATTGTTCAAATGTTTCTTAGCGTCCGTTGCTTGTCACCTTACTGATAAAATGAGGGTAGTGACCCTACCTACCTCCAAGACCGCTGTACAGTTAAATGAGTTCACTGCAATGCGGAATGCACTTAGAACTACACCTACACATGGCGCCAGCCCAGTGCATGGGGCGGCTGCTGGCCTCTTGTGTATCATCATCGCACTGGTGAGAAGCACCATCCGACTAGATTCCCAAGGGAACGGAGGGAAGGAACAAAAAAGGGAGAAGAGAGGCAGCCACGAACGTCCACACTTGGGACTCTAGTTGTGCGACGTGGCCCCACTTACACGGATTACTTTACACGGATTGCGCGTGTGTCCACGCGCTGGGAGGAAAGGGAGGAGCGTGGTCTGCCCCGACTCAGCTGCCCAAGGTCCTCCAAGGGTCCAGTCTCGGGCGGGCGGCCTAGAGCACGTGAGGGCCGGGGGGCTCACCCGCCGCGGAGGGTCTGGGGTCCGGGAGGATCCGGGCAGCGGAGGAAGGGAGGAGCGCGGGTGCACGGGGCGGAGCTAGGGGAGGTCCGGCCGGAGGGAAAGGCCTCTCTGGAGACAGGGACGCGGGACAGCGAGAGCTGCATCCGCGGAGGCCACGCCGGGCGACAAGGGCGCGGTACCTGGAGTCGAACTTCTGGCCGTCGGGGAACGTCCCCACGTAGTGGTAGCGCACGAAGTCGCCGCTGCGCACGGTGCGCGGACACTCGTCGGGCACGAAGCGCCGCTCGATCTGCAGCTCCGCATCGGAGCCCAGGCCCGCCACGGGCGCTCCCTGCCCCGTCACCCAGAGCAGCAGCAGGAGCAGCGGCGGCGGCGGGGGCCTCCAACCCCGGGCCCTGAACGCCATCGGGGCGGCGAGGAAAGCGGCACGGGTCGGCCTGGGCGTGCGGCGGCGTTTGCAAACGTGGAACGGTCTCCCGGCCCTCCCCGGGCAGCAGCCACCACCCGCTCCCCGCTGTCGCCCGCCCCCCCGGCCACCGCTTGAGGGGAGGAGCCCGGCCTGGCCGCGCGCCGAGGGCGGGCCTGCTGCGCCCTGCCCAGCCCGGCCTTGCGATCCTGCGCGCAGCTTGGCGGGGGGTTGGCGACTCCAGGGGGGACCCATCATCCAGGGAGGGACCCAGAACTGCGAAATCCAGTCTGGGCCTAGGGAGGGCGTGTCCCCGAGCTACACACTGTGATTTTTTTTTACAAGATTTTGGCTCAAACTCGGAAGAGAAAAGCGCGGACCGCCCAGGCCCACCCGCTCGCTGGTCCCCGCCGGTCCCTGAAGACTCCGGGTTTGGGGCCGTGAGAGGCTCCTACGTGGCCGTGGATCCAGGTTCCCTTGCTGCTTTGGAGAGGGAGGGAAAATTAGATTTTATTTTTTTAAACTTAGTTACAAGGGTATTTATTGTCTACCTTGAAAGAGACTTAAACTGTCTTCGGGATTTTTTTTTTTTTTTTAAATACTTAAAGGAAAAGGGAGACGTGTATTGCGAGAGGCTCCCGTGACAGTTGTCCAGGCGCAGGTGTTTTGTTTGTTTGTTTGTTTTTTGTTTTTTTGGTTTTTTTGAGACGGAGTTTCGCTGTTGTTACCCAGGCTGGAGTGCAATGGCGCGATCTCGGCTCACCACAACCTCCGCCTCCTGGGTTCAGGCAATTCTCCTGCCTCAGCCTCCCGAGTAGCTGGGATTACAGGCACGCGCCACCATGCCCAGATAATTTTTGTATTTTTAGTAGAGACGGGGTTTCACCATGTTGACCAGGATGGTCTCGATCTCTTGACCTCGTGATCCACCCGCCTCGGCCTCCCAAAGTGCTGGGATTACAGGCGTGAACCACCGGGCCCGGCCCTGTAGGCGAAAGTTTTAAGGCGCTGTGAGGTCCCCAAAGCCATCAGTGGCCGCAGTGTGAGCTGATATTTGCACACTTCCCACATATGAGCCTATGCCAGGGAGGACTTCATCAAAGAGACGCAGATGCCGCAGGAATCCCTTAGTCAGATGCACCCTCGGCTTGGAATTGGATAATTTATTCAAACTTTGGAATAATGAAGCAAATCACCAACACTTTCTCAACTCATTTTGGAAGCAAACACAATTCTGATACCAAAACCTGGCAAAGAGAGCAACAAAAAAGAAAACTGAAAACACTGGGTACGATCTAATTTATAAATATAAATGCAAAAATGCTGAATAAAACGTGATCAAATCGAATTCGACAGTGTATTAGGCAAACTGCGGTGGCTCATACCTGTAACCCCAGCACTTTGGGAAGCCGAAATGTTTGGATCACCTGAGGTCAGGAGTTCAAGACCAGCCTGGCCAACATGGTGAAACCCCATCTCTACTAAAAATACAAAAATTAGCAGGGTGTGGTGGCACAGCCGATATATAGTCCCAGCTACTCAGGAGGCTGAGGCAGGAAAATCACTGAAACCTGGGAGGCGGAGGTTACAGTGAGCAGAGATTGCACCATGAGATCAGCCATGAAATCGCCCACTGCACTCCAGCCTGGGCGACAGTGAGACTCCACCACAAAAAGAATAAAAATAAAAATGAAAAATGAAAAAATAGTATGTTAAAGGGAAAATATGCCATTACAGGGACTACTTAGGGAGCTTCTGCAAGTTAACAAAATGTGAGTGTTCTCTGTAAGATGAAGATAAAACAATAATTATAAGATAATATAATATAATTATTAGACTTCAGGGATCAAATGAGAAACTACATGAATAACTCAAGAAAAATGTTCATTGTTCATCTGAGAGCTTATTCTAGAAATAGAACACCTATTAATAAAATTATAGGACAGAAGAAGGGAAAAAAAGCTCTAAGGTCATGTGGCCATAAACTCAAATGGCATGAGATAAAGTTCGACATCTCTGATTTTAAAAACCTGGTGGCTTTTTAAAGAGTGGTGGCTCACTCGTGCAATCCTAGCACTTCAGGAGGTTGAGGCAGGCGGATCACTTGAGCCCCGGAGTTAGAGACCAGCCTGGGCAACATGGCAAAACCCCGCCTCTACAAAAAATACAAAAATGACTCACCCCTGTAATCCCAGCACTTTGTGATGCTAAGGCAGGTGTATTGCTTGATCTCAGGAGTTTGAAACCAGCCTGGGCAACCTGGCGAAACCCTGTCTCTACTAAAAATACAAAAATTAACTGGGTGTGCACACCTATAATCCCAGCTACTCTGGTGGCTGAGGCAGGAAATTGCTTGAACCCCAGAGGTGGAGGTTGCAGTAAGCCAAGATTGCACCATTGCACTCCAGCCTGGGCAACAGAGCAAGACTCTAACTAAAAAAAAAAAAAAAAAAAAAAAAAGAACTTTCTGATTGTAGTCAGTTAACGGCACTGGACCACCAAAAAGTACTTTTGCATGTCATCTTTGTATTGTCAAAAAATACCTTGATTTTGAAGTATATAACCTTTGATAATAAAAATTGCCGCATGAATTGAGACGTTCAGTTCATTCAGTTTACGTGTCCTTTGGTCCAGTCTTTGCTTCACTATGTCTCTGTGGCTTCAGGCAAGTCAGGTAAGTTTTTACTTCCACCCTTGACTGGAAAACAGATTATACTTGTCTTGCCTACTGACCTCGTGTGTAATTTGGGGAAATATCTTAGTGCTGAATTAGTTTCTAGGCTCAGGCACTAACCATATGATACATGTTAATTGGTAAGAACTTGGGATTTGAAACTTGATCATTTGAGCTAGATACCAAGAAGTCCAATCTTCATGACAACTCTGTATAAGGTCATAGGTATAATCACTACTTTAGAGAAAAAACAAACCACTCCACCCTGGGCAGCAGAGTGGCACCCTGTCTCAAAAAGAAAATCAAAAAACAAACAAAAATTAGCCAGATGTGGTGGAGTGTACCTGTTGTCCTGGCTATTTGGGAAGCTGAGTTGGGAGGATCACTTCAGCCCCGGATGCTGAGGCTGCAGTGAGCCATGATTGCACATTGCATAATCAGTCTGAGTGACAGAGCAAGACCCTGTCTCACAAAAAAAAAAAAAAATTGCTGAGCAAGGCAGCCTGCTCCTGTAGTCCTGGCTCAGCTACTTGTGAGGCTGAAGGGGAAAGATCACCTTCAACCTCATAGATGGAGGCGTCAATGAGTTGTGATTATACCACTGCGCTCCAGCCGAGGTGACAGAGTGAGAGCCTGTCTAGAAATATATATAACATAAAATAAAATAAAAGCGAACAGCTGGGCATGGCGGCAGGAGCCTGTAGTCCTAAGTACTTGAGAACCTGTGGTGGGAGGATCTCTTGAGCCCAGAAGTTAGAGTCCAGCCTGGGCAACATACCAAGACTCTGTCTCAAAAAAGTAAAAAAAATCTTGTTATTAAAAAATGCTGGCTGGGCACAGTGGCTCATAACCTGTAATCCCAGCACTTTGGGAGGCAGAGGCTGGTGGACCTCTTGAGGTCAGGAGTTCGAGACCAGCCTGGCCAACATGGTGAAACCCTGTCTCTACTAAAAATACAAATATCAGCCAGCTACTTGGGAGGCTGAGGCAGGAGAATCGCTTCAACCCAGGAGGCAGAGGCTGCAGTGAGCCAAGATCCTGCCACTGTACTCCAGCCTGGGCAACAGAGCCTGACTGTGTAAAAAAAAAAAAAAAAAAAAAAAGCCAGAAATGTTTAAAAGAGAAATGATGAATTAAAAGTATATATACTTGACCGAGCAGGAAACGGCATCCAGGAACAGAGCGCTTTGCTCCTCCCTCAGTATAAATGGAGACCAGAAATCAGATATTTATGCCCAAGAAAAGTAGGATTTCGTTCAGCACTTCTCCCAGATCAGTAGGGTACTGACTGAGGATGAGACAGGGGTCCTAGAGACAGGAGATGCTATTGCCCGGCTCAAGGAGGTCCTGGAGTACAACGCCATTGGAGGCAAGTATCACCAGGGTTTGATGGTGCTAGCGGCGTTCCGGGAGCTGGTGGAGCCAAGAAAACAGGATGCTGATCGTCTCCAGCGGGCCGTGACTATGGGCTGGTGTGTGGAACTGCTGCAAGCTTTCTTCCTGGTGGCTGATGACATCATGGATTCATCCCTCTCTTGCCAGGGACAGATCTGCTGGTATCAGAAGCTGGGCATGGGTTTGGATGCCATCATTGCTGCTATCCTTCTGGAAACATCTATCTACTGCCTTCTGAAGCTCTACTGCCGGGAGCAGCCCTATTACCTGAACCTGATCGAGCTCTTCCTGCAGAGTTCCTATCAGACTGAGATTGAGCAGACCCTGGACCTCATCACAGCCCCCAAGGGCAATGTAGATCTTGGCAGATGCATGGAAAAGAGGTACAAATCCATTGTCAAGTACAAGACAGCTCTCTACTTATTCTACCTTCCTGTAACTGCTGCAGCCACCTACATGACAGGAATTGATGGCGAGAAGGAGCATACCAATGCCAAGAAGATCCTGCTGGAGATGGGAGAGTTCTTTCAGATTCAGGATGATTACCTTGGCCTCTTTGGGGACCCCAGTGTGACCGGCAAAATTGTCACTGGCATCCAGGACAACAAATGTAGCTGGCTGGTAGTTCAGTGTCTGCAATGGGCCACTCTGGAACAGTACCAGATTTTGAAGGAGAATTATGGGCAGAAGGAGGCCGAGAAGGGGGCCCGGGTGAAGGCATTATATGAGGAGCTGGATCTGCTGGCTGCATTCTCGCAGTACGAGGAAGACAGTTACAGCCACATTATGGTTCTCATGGAACAGTACGCAGCTCCCCTGCCTCCAGCTATGTTTCTGGGGCTTGCGTGCAAAATCTACAAGCGGAAAAAGTGACCTAGAGACTGCAAGGGTGGGGAGAGTAGGCTCTCAATAAATAAGTTATTGTGTTAAAAAAATATATATACTTATAGCCGGGCGTGGTGGCTCATATCTGTAATCCCAGCACTTTGGGAGGCTGAGGCAGGTGGATCACAAGGTCAGGAGTTCAAGACCAGCCTGGCCAAAATGGTAAAACCCTGTCTCTACTAAATATACAAAAATTAGCTGGGTGCGGTGGCAGGTGCCTGTGATCCCAGCTACTTGGGAGGCTGAGGCAGGAGACTTACTTGAACCTGGGGGGGGCGGAGGTTGCATTGAGACAAGATCACGCCATTGCACTCCAGCCCGGGCAACAGAGTGCAAATCTGTCTCAAGAAAAAAAAAAAAAAGAAACTTACAAATATATGACAAACAAAAGCGTAAGTAAGTAAGTAAGTAAGCATAAGTGAACACCCGTCATGTGCTGGCCTAAAATTCTATGAGGCTCCTCACACTGAGAAGTGGAGTTTATGATTTTCCTGTAGAATCTGGATAGGTCTGCAGCTGTGCTGACCAATAGAAGACAGCCCAGTGATGGGCCGTGACTTCTGGGCTACATCATAACAGGCCATGTTGTCTCCACCTAGTTCATTGGAACACTTGCCCCTGAAATCCTGATCCCTGTAAGAAGTCTCACTACCCAGAGACCTCCATGCTGGAGAGGTCACATGCAGACTCTGTGATTGACAGTCACAGCTGAGCCCATCCCTCAGCCATCCCAGCATAGGCAGCAAAAATGTGAGTAAAGCAGCCTCTGGATTAGCCAGCCACCATATGCTCAAGTCAGCCCAGCCATTTGAGCAGTAAAAATTATGTAGCATGTGGGTAACCTCCCATATAGGCACCGAGGAATGAGAGCTAAGCAGAACCCTGGCACAGTTAGGGCTTGAGGAATATCTCACTTTATAGTGTTATTACTCAGCTATTTCCTTTTATGTAATCTTTTACATAATCATATATTAGTTTATAGAATTAGGGTTGATGAATCCCTTTATAAAATCCTCTATATATAATCATATAATAGTTGATAGTATGAGTGCCTAAAGAATATTTCCCTACATATATACCTATAATTATATCTTAGTTCATAATCGGACGAATGCCTAGAGTGGACACAGTACAGAGCATGAATTAAGGAATAAGCAGCTTATAATCAGAGGAATGCCTAGAGCAGACACAGTGCAGAGCATGATTTAAGGGAAAAACAGTTATACCAGGACAAGAATCCATGGCCCAGGCGGCAGCGTTTAGTATCGTAAAGATACCCACCGTGTGGCAGGCTTGGGGCGAGAGCCACTCCTCCTGATAAAGGAGTTGTAGGACCTTGCTCCAGTTCTTGTGGAAGGCCGCCCTCAGACCGGCAATCCACCTTGGTGACTGTGAACTCTATCAGCTCTTGCTACTGTGCTGCTTGAAAAGCATCTTCCCATAGAACCCATTGGAAGCTGCCAGAAGGTGGCGGTAACCCTGACAGCTCTGTCACTGCTGTGTGACTTAAAGCATCCTCCTATAAATCTTCTTAGAAATAGTTTGCCCATAGATAGAAGTATTGCACACTGCACGCTCCTCACTGCGCACTGCCCACCTTCAAGCCTCGGTGACCTAATGGGGGTGGACCCCTTACTGTGCACGGCCCTTGCCTTCATGGGAATGGGCCCCTTGCTGTGCACTGTCCACCTCCTGGCCTAGGTGACCTAATGGGGGTGGACCCCATGTTTTATCGCTCATGACCCTATCACTATCCTTAAAGATGACTTCACTCACTGCCCTGCCCCCGAACCTATACACAATAAATACTCAGGCTTCTGGACTTTTGGGGCCTCGCCTGACTCTGCTCATAGGTGGCTTGGCCCCCGAGCCCAGCTGTGTTTTCCTTGTACTTCTGTGTCCTGTCTCTTTATTTCTCGGATCCTGCACCTCAGCACAGCATAAGGCACACCCCACGACCCTGTGGGGCCATCAGCCTACATAGCAGACAAAGCCATGCCTCCTATATCCTGTCAAAATTCCTGACCCACGGAATTTGTAAGCATATTAGATCGTTTTACCCCACTGAACTTTGGGGTAGTGTGTTATGTAGCAGCACAACAAAGCTAAAGTCAGTATACATACGTGAAGAATTCAGAAAAGAGGAAATACAAATAAACATATTCACTCTCACTAGTAATCAAAAAAATAAAATATGGCTGGGTGCGGCGGCTCACGCCTGTAATCCTAGCACTTCGGGAGGCTGAGGCAGACAGATCACCTGAGGTCAGGAGTTCAAGACCAGCCTGGCCAACATGGTGAAACCCTGTCTCTACTAAAAATCCAAAAATTAGCCGGGCGTCGTAGCACATGCCTGTAATCCCAGCTGGTGGGGAGGCTGAGGCAGGAGAATCACTTGAGCCCAGGAGGAGGAGGTTACAGTGAGTCCGGATCACACCACTGCACTCCAGCCTGGGCCACAGAGCAAGACTCTGTCTCAAAAACAAAACGAAAACAGAGAGTGTACTTTCACTTGTGCCAAAGGCTGCATCTCCCCAATCTATAGATTGTTTCTCAGAAAATAAAAGGTCTCCATTTCGTCAAAAGAAAAGAAAACTAAAATAATGAAGTACTTTTTTTTTTTTACTTCTCAAGTTAGTAAGATTAAAAAATAAATACAAGACATATTGTTACTGAAGAACAGGGAAAATGATTCTTTCACATCCGGACAGTGGGTCTGTAAATCGGTGTAGCATTTAAAGACATGCATGAGTTTTTTGATACCAAGTAACAGAACTCCCGATTTCAGTAAGGGAATTAAATATATATATATTTGAGGAATACCAGAGGTTTTCACTCAGTTGAGGGGTTGTATCCAATTCAAAGAAATGCCAGGTTTCCCCTGCTAGGAGGAGTTTGGGAATCTCCAGAACTAGCATGGCTGCTTGCTGACGTTCTCTATCTCCATTTCTTGTTTCTGCATCTCTTTGTACATGGGCTTTGCTCTAAGATGCAGAAGATACTGTCTTCTGTCACATGTTAAAAAACAATGCCCGTGACATCTCCCGACTTGGGTATCTGGCGGCTCCGTTGCCACAAGGACACGAGGTCTTTCCCAGCCTCAAGGTGTTAAATGACTGGCTTGGACTGGAGCCCTGACCACCAATCAGCTGTGAGCTGACCAATGCTTTGGAGTGCAGACATTACCACCAGGGCCCACCCCTATTGTTTGGATATCATTCCCCAGAAGGGGAAACCACGAGGAGTTAACAGTAACTTGTAGAAAAATTTGACCATATGTAAAAAAAGCTCTATGAATCAATGTAAGCTTGACCCAGTAATAACATTTCTACCAATGTATCCCAAGGAAATAATTAAGAATACATGCAGAGATGCAGCTGTAAGAATATTCTTTACAGTATCATTAATAATACAGAAAAGTAATCTAAAATGGAACTGTTTCCATTAATTATACGTCTACACAGCCATAAAAGTAGTGTTATAAAAACATACTTATTGATATTGGAAAATGATCATTTTTAAAAGCATATTAGGAATTGGTATGATGATTATAATCCTGTTTCTCTAAAAAAAAAATGAAAGTACAAAAACTTACCAAATAAGATACATATATAAATATAATAGTGGTTAAAATATAACAGTTGTGGAGTTAAAGAAAATTCTTTTTTTTTTTTTTTTTTTGAGAACAGATCTTGCTCTGTTGCCCAGGCAGGAGTGCAGTGGCGCATTCATAGCTCACTGTAGTCTAGGCCTCTTGGGCTTAGGGGGTCCACTAGCTTCAGCCTCCCAAATAGCTGGGACCACAGGTGCATGCCACCATCCCTGGCTAATTTTTTATTTCATTTATCTGTTTATTGAGGCAGAGTCTCACTGTAGCTCAGGCTGGAGTGCAATTGCCCCATCTTGGTTCACTGCAACCTCCACCTCACAGGTTCAAGTTATTCTCCTGCCTCAGCCTCCTGAGTAGCCGGGATTACAGGCGTGCAGCACCACACCTGGCTAAGTTTTGTATTTTTAGTAGGGAGAGGGTCTCTGTATGTTGCCCAAGCTTGTCCTGAACTTCATGGTTCAAGAGATCCTACTACCTTAGCCTCACAAGGTGCCGGGATTACCAGCATGAGCAACTGTGCTCGGCTAAGACAAGTCTTTTGTGAATTTTTTAATACATTCCAAATATTCTGAGCTTTTATAGTAAACTTCTTATGTAAAAAAAGGTGTTTAACGGACATGAAAATGATATTTTTATAAGAATATGTAGGTCAGACGCTGTGGCTCACACCCCTGTAATCTCAGCACCTTGGGAGGCTGAGGCAGGCAGATCATGAGTTCAGGAAATTGAGACCCTCTTGGCCAACGTTGTGAAACCCCATCTCTAGTACAAATAAAAAATCAGCTGGGCGTGGTGGTGCATGCCTGTAATCCCAGCTACTCAGGAAACTGAGGCAGGAGAATTGCTTGAAGCAGGGAGTCGGAGGTTGCAGTGAGCTGAGATCACACCACTGCACTCCAGCCTGGTGACAGAGTGAAACTCTGTTTCAAAAAAGAAAAAAGAATATGTAATGAAAAGGAAAAATACTATATATTAGATGATATATTGTGTGAAAAACCTGGCTTCCAAATAGTATTTACATTCATGATATTTTTATAAATAAAATTGTAAGTATGTGTAAAAACCCAGAATAATATATTTAGAATACTACATTTTATTTATTAATTTTTAAAATTTAATTAAAACAAATTATTTTTCGAAACGGAGTTTCGCTGTTGTTACCCAGACTGAAGTGCAATGGCGCAATCTCGGCTCACTGCAACCTCCGCCTCCTGGATTCAAGCAATTCTCCTGCCTCAGACTCCCAAGTAGCTGGGATTACAGGCACGCGTCACCGTACCCAGCTAATTTTTGTATTTTTAGTAGAGAGGGGGTTTCACCATGTTGACCAGGACGGTCTCGATCTCTTGACCTCGTGATCCACCCGCCTCGGCCTCCC